ACAGAAAGGAAGGAGGCCGTCCATTTGATTTCACATTTTACTTACATTAGGTGGAGTAAGGCACCATCAGTTACAAAATGACACAATTCTGTTTGTCAGAGAGAAAACAGCAATTTCTGTTGTCATTGTTGAAGATCTGGAGGGTCCCAAGAAGTTGAACATGGCTGCTGGAGGCTGGGGTCTCCTGGGACCACGGCAGGAAGCAGATGTGGAGCTGCCCACAGAGGGCTCATGTTCCAGGGCTATCACCAGGATCCATGATGATGACCAGTCACAGGGGCCACTGAAGGTTTTAAAAGGGAATAGGGATGCCACAGTATTGGGGCTGGTACATAGGAGGTGTCAGGTACACAGAAGATGGGGGGTGCACAGGAGGTGAGATGGTGGCAGCTCCATCACAGAGAGGACCTGAGAGAGACAGAAGACACTTAGGGACTCATGAGCAGGTCACCCACTCCCCTGGTTTTCCTGCCCATGAAACTACCTGAGCCCTCCATCATGTCCGTTCTGAACGAGTCCAGGAACAAAGTCCCTTGGCTTCGCAGAGGCAGGTGGACCTGCAGAAGGGCAAGTCCTTGGTGCTGTGTGAAGAGGGAACCTGTGGGCAGAGGGCTGTTTATTATTCTATGCTCTGCTCTAGGTCCATTGAAGGCTGGGTTAGCTGATGTCACTCACTACAGGACTTCAAAGGTGAAGGCAGAGGGATGCCTGGGTGGCCACTCTCCCAGCCTCTGTACCCAAGGGTCCTGTTCAGGACCTCACCATGAGAGCAAAACAAGGGCACATGAGTGTTTCTCAGGAGCCATCCCTGTGTATTGACCAGCCAGATGGCTATGTGCAGTTATCACAAGATGGGAAAGCCTTGTGGAGAAGCCCTGGGATTCAGCATCTACTCGAGTCCTAACAACTAAGACATTCAGTCCCTGTGGCAAGTCTTTAAGACCCATAAAATATACTTCACAGGGCTTGCATGCGACATTGGCTACCTGGGAAGTCTACCCCATGTAACGCTCACTTCCCACCTCCCTCCCATGGGCCTTTGTGTCTCCAGATCCTAGGCAAGTGCAGAGATCTCAGATTTCCTCAGACAGCTCAGTCATCCCCACAACTGTCTCTATCTGGAGCCTGCAATGATCAAATCAGACTCAGAAACATGGAGATGTGCTGGGCAGTTTTTTCTGCCACAGATATGACTCTGAGAACATGGTACCTGAGGGCTTTACTGGTGCCTGCTTTCCTTTCTCTGTACTCAGTCCTTGGGTGTTTCTCAAATTTCCATTTGGACGTGCTGATTTCTAATAAAAATAAAATAAAATATTAAAACCATGTTCATACATCATGATGTGGCACTCTTGTATGCCTCACACTCCATGTTATGCAATACCTTGAGGCTTGCTATGGATATACTTTACTGCTCTATAAATTCTTCTGAGATGAAATAAAAGACAAATAGTCCAGTCATCCTCCCATGAAGCACAAGAGGTGATCTCCCTCCATCTTACCTGCATTTTCCCTTCTGGACTGAGAACCAGCAATGGTGTCCTGATGGATCTGCAGAGTCTGGAGTGTAGATGGGAGAATTGCCTTCACTCCCCTGGGCTTCTGAAAGCCTCTGAACCCTGTGGAAATCTGGTCACTTACAAAGCTTTTCTATGCAGCCAGGCGTGGCAGCACACGCCTTTAATCCCAGGACTCCGGAGGTAGAGGCAGGCAGATCTCTTTGAGATTGAGACCAGCCTTGTCTACATAGTGAGTTCCAGGGCTCACTGAGGCTACTGAGAGGCCTTGTCTCAAAAAAGACCAAAATACCAAACAAACAAACATAAAAATAAAACTCTTGAATGTGACTGAATCAGACCCACACTAGTTAGGTATGTAGTGGGGGTTGCAAAGAGTTAACAGGCATTTTTAATCCCACCTCTCAGGTGGCTGAGGACTGATCAGGATTGTAGAATAAGTGGGGCTATATAAACAGACCTTAAATCAACTTTAAAAGCAAAGCAACCCACCAAACGAAAACCTAAACACCTAAAAGCATGAATAAGCAATGAGCTAACATAGTAATTTTGTCACATCTGCTAAACCCCTTTACGTAGGCTTGATTGAAAATCTAAAATGGGAAAGTTTTAACCCTTCACTTGATACTTAGAAATTGTTATATAAAATTTCAGTTAATCCATAATAATTGTAAGAGTGGAGTCTGGACCACTTCCTCCCCAAGAGGGACAAGAAGAAAAAGAAAAACAGCCTGGGGTCAGAGTGCAGGAGCAGTGGACCTGTGGGTTTGAAGACCAAGCCCAGCATTAGCAAGTCCACTGGGACCTCCATGGCGTTCATGAGGGATCAAGATGAGTGGCAGGAGTTTGTAGGAAGAGGTTTGGTGTAACACTCAGGGTTGAGGCAATGCCTATAGACAAAGACTGAAACCAGTGAAGAGAAGGTAAGGTCCAGGAGGTGACTGGGAAGAAGTGGAAGTGGTGGTGGTGCGGAAGAATCTTCCGGTTCCTGGGCTTAATAAACAGCTCAGGTACAATCACCTCCTTCTTCAGTACTTGTTATACAAACCCCAGAACCTGCAATTCCTAGTGGCATGCAAAGCCCTCTCGCCTCCCAGGGTTAGGCTAATGATATGATGGAAAATATCACAAGGAACACCAGAAATTCAGTGATCTGCAGTTGCCATTCCTGTGGTCCATGGGCAAACACATGGGAAGCAGGAAGCAAATGGAGAACTAGACTCGCCAATGGGCTTCTATAATTCCTCTACAAATATAGTCAAATAAAAATCTATAGCCAGGCGTCATTTAAAAAATGTTTTGATAGGGACTAGAGAGATGGCTCAGCAGTTAAGAGCACTGGCTGTTCTTGCAGAGGACCCAGGTTTGATTCCCAACACCCATATGGTAGCTAACAACTGTTCATAACGCTAGTTTTGGAAGATCCAACACCCTCTTCTGACCTCCGAGGGGACTGCATGACACGGGTACACTTACATCCAAGTAGACAATATACTCGTACATATAAAATTAAATATAATGAAGCTCCCTCGTGCAGCAGAGGGCCAGGAACACAAAAGGTCACAAATGGTCAAAGTGTAGAGACCAAGAATCTGCTGAATGATGGTCCTTGGACGTGATCCCTTTATTAAACTTCCCACCCAAGGTTCAGGGACCATCTTGGAAGAGGGGATGGAAAGACTGTAAGAGCCAGGAGGAGGTGCATGACCAAATGGAAACAGAGTCCTACAAGCTCTTGGGAACCTGCTCATATAATTCTGTGGCAATGATGTCAGCATACACAAGTCCCATGCAAACATAGGCAGAAAATAACCCAGCATAGAACTGGGAAAATGAACAGCAGACCTAATCTTATCTAAAGGAATTTTGGCAACAGATTGCTACTAGATGAAGAAGAGCCGATCTTCCTAAAACAAGGGACTTTAGATAGGCTGACTAGACTCAGTGGATGGACTTATAGTGGGGAATGGCTGGGGACACTGACAACCCAGTGGGCCTTAACAGGGATGACAGAGTATATGGGCTCCAGTGTGTGTGGGGGGTGGCTATGGGAAGGTGCCAGTGGGGATAGGGGTATAAAGACGATTAAGATTGTTTGAGATGTTATGTATGAAATGCACAAAAAATTCAATAAAAATAAATTTTAAAATGCTTTGATAATTTAAAAAATTAGTTTTCCAACAATTTCATACATGTATATAATGCATTCTAGTTACTCTCCCCCCATTACAGCTTACTTTTTCCCTCCCACTTATATTAAGCCATCTCCTCCCCACTTCCTGTCCCTTTCCCAGATTCCTGACTTTCAGTTTTCAGCTAAATCATGGCCATCGATGTGACCTTCAGATTCAAACTATCCATTGGAACATGGAGGGGTTGGCTGTGGATATACACCTGAAGATGGTGACTCCCTTTCCCTGCATCTGTCTGTAGGAAACAGCTGAGCAGTGAGGGGCATTAACAACTTTTGTGTTTAAATAATGAGCCTTTGTAAGGAGTGGCCTCCTCTGGTTTGCTGCCGTTAACTGTACACTTTATGTGGACCACAAGTGCTAAAGGAGAAGGGGTCTGGCAGAGCTCGGCTGGTAGTGCTTGCCTAGCATGCACAAAACCTTGTATGATCATAGTACTAAGTAAACCAGGCATGGTTAATTAAGGATTCAAAGTCATTCTAAGCTACATAGAAATTTCCAGGCCTGCCTGGGCTAAACGCTCTTTTATTTAAAATTTATTCATTTTTATTTTATGTTTATGACTATTTTTCTTGAGTATATGCAGGTGCACCACATGCCTGGACAGTTGTTAGCTGTCATGTGGGAACCCAACCCAGGTGTTCAGCCAGAGCAGCTGGTGCTCTTAACTGCTGAGCCAGCTCTCCAGCCCCCTAAACACCGTTTTTAAAACCAACCAAACAACCAGGAATGTTACAGCTAATGAATTCAATAAGTGCAGTGAATATGCCCTCTACGTTAAATTTTACCCTAAAACTCTTTCCTAAGAAATATCTTCAGTTTGGTTCAGCACTGAGGATCGAAGCCAGGGTCTTACACATGCTCCCCAAGCACTCTACCACTAAGCCACACCCCGGCCCCCACCACCTTCAATTGTCATCTGAGGAATTTGAAGCTATAGCCATAAACACTCAACGATGAACACAAGTTCTGTGACCTCAGACCTGGAGAAGGAGACAGGATTGAGCAGCTGTTCATGAGTCAAAATTGTCCCTGTGGTAAAGGAGTCTCTATACCTGAAGCCTGATGGAGAGAGGGAGCAGAGGGCAGGTCCCAGGTTCCCTAGGAGGCTGATCCTCCAGCCCTATGCCAATCCTTAGCCTCTCCCACTAAAGTCTCCCAGTAAAGGTTCACAGATGAGGAAGAAAGAACGAGGTCATGATCACACACTTAATTCCGTACTTTATTCTCATAGTAAGTGGAACAACCAGCTGCCAGTTACAAAACTGCACAATTCTGCTCTTCAGAGTCTTCATTGAGGATCTAGTTGGTCATAAGAGGTTGAGCATAGCTTCTCGGGGCTGGAGTCTTCTGGGACCATGGCAGGAAGTGGGTATGGAGGGTTCATGTTACAGGGCTGCCACTGGAATTCCTGAGGATCCTGTACCACGGAGTTCACAGGAGTTGGGAAGTACCCAGGAGGAGGCTGAGGGTACATGGGAGCAGCAGCACCATAAGTGAGTGGATCTGAGAGGGAGAAGACACAGAGCTCATGAGCAGGTCACCCACACTCTCCCTGCATCCATGCCTGTGAAATTGTCAAGGGCCACCTCTATTCTGAACAAGTCCAAATCAAACTCCAATGAACTCAGACAGGCAGGTGAACCGTGTGTAGAGGGAACCTGTGTAGACAGTCTTATCTACCCTCTGCTTGGGGCTCAACAGTGATTGTGCCTGTCAATGCCACTCACTAGAAGGATGTAAGGCGAGTACAGACAAACCTGGAAAGTAGCTGATTCCATGACTGTAGCCCAGGATCCTGTGCAGGGCCTCTCCATACGGAGAAAACAAGGGTTCGCTCCTTGGCTTCTCGTTACAAATGATCCAGTACAGATCTAGCATGCTGTGCAGCAGGTGGAGGCATCCATTCCATATCTTAGTCATACCCCTCTGATCGAGACGTTTGGAAATGGCTTTAGCTTTCTTGTAGATCTTCCCTTCATGATGGACTGTACGTTCAACTATTTCCCACTCCTGGAGAAAGACCCTGACTTCCCAGTCGCTCCATGGTATAGGAATAGGGCCTGCAAGGGACAGAGGAACGTGATGAGTACATTCGGGCATTATTCACAAGCTCATCTAAGTGTTTTCCAGAGACCCTTCCTGTGCACTGTTCAGCCACATGACTATGTGGCGTTAACGGGACATGGGAAAGCCTTGTGGAGAAGCTCTGGGATTCAGCATCTGAGTCTTGATACACAGTCACTGGGACAAGTATACATCTTTAAGAACCTATATATATATGACGTCTGTCACATGTGAGGCTCACAGGCTACTTCTCTCCCAGGGTTCTTCAGAACTTTCAGTGTTCTAAAGCCCCAGAGAAAGGTCAAGATCCCAGAATGCAGGAAGAGCTCCCCCCTCTCCACCCTCTTACCCTCCCCAGCCCACCCAAAGCTGTCTCCATCTGGGGTTTAGGAAAGCTCACTGGACTAGGGAACATGCAGGTGAAAGGACATTTTGTCTACAGATACAATTCTGAGAATATGGTACCTGAAGGCTGCCATGCTTCCTGCTTTCTGTTCTCTTTATTTGGTGCTGGGGCATTTGCCAAACTTCCATTCTCATCTGCTGCTGTCTATAAAAAGGAAGATTTTTTTTCATTAAAATTGTGTTCACATAGTAGGAGTTTCTTAGTAACTTACCTGTGAATGGAATAATGGTAATACCCATTAAATCAGCATTTGTGAGGTGGAGACAGGAGGAGCTCTGGTTCCATACCAGTGTGAACTACCTGATGGGGATTAGGTCTGGAATTCCAGCACTCAGGAGGCAAAGATGGAGGAGCACTGAATCCTGCAGATCAGCCAGGGCTGCAGAGCAAGTTCAAGGCTGGCATGAGCTATATACATAGCAAAACAGCTAACCTAACAAGTACCAAACAAATCAACAAGAAAAACAGTTGAGGAGCATCATAAGGCAGCTCTCAAGACCACGTACTCAGGAGGAAGAGTGCGGGCAAATGTACAGGTATGGGCCCCTGGAAGGTAGTTAGCTAAGCTGAGCCTCAGTTTCCTTTGCTGTAAAAGAAACACAGTGCTAGCGTCTTCCATAAGGCTTGCTGTGAGGATTGAGTTCATATTTGTAGAGACTGGAAAAGCATGCAGACATATTTTACATCTATGGAAGCCTGGCAGAATGGCTCAGCACTCTGGAGGCAGAGGTAAGAGGATCACACTGCAAGTTGGAGGGGTTGTAGACCAATCCTGGTCTACATAATGAATTCCAGGCGAGCCATGGCTACCTGGTAAGACTCTGTCTCAAAAACATGAACAAAAACAGTTCAGAGATGAAATGAGAGACAAACAATCCAGCCATCCATAAAACACAGAGTAGGTGCCATCTGACTTACTGCCATTTTCCCTCCTGAGCTGCGTCCTATTCCACAGTGGCCTAGGAACCAGAGCTGACTGTGTCCTAATGAATCAGCAGAGTATGAAGTGGAGAAGGGAGAACTGTCTTCACTCCTTGGACTCCTGGAAGTCTTTGAATTCTGTGTTGTTCTGGCCTCTTATAAAGCTGTTGAATTGATTAAATCAGGCACACCCTAGCTAGGCGGGTAGGGTGGATTGACAAAACTAACCCTTATGCTTTAATCTCAGCACTAGGGTGGCTGAGGCTGGAGGATTTATGAGAAATTGAGGCCTGCCTAGGCTACATAGCAACACTTTGTCTTAAGAAAAAGTTTAAAGCTGGGCGTGGTGGTGCACGCCTTTAATCCCAACACTCAGGAGGTAGAGGCAGGCAGATCTCTGTGAGTTCAAGCCTAGCCTGGTCTGCATAGTGAATTCCAGGCCGGCTGGGGCTACAGGGAGACCCTGTCTCAAAAAGACCAAAAAAAATTTAAGTGTTAGGTAATTTAATAATTATATACATCTGCCTAGTCTCTTCATCTGGGCTGTAATTTGAATAAATAGCTGGGACAGGGAAACACTTCTTGTACTTATAGATGACTTGTAAATTTTTAAGTAACATGTACTAAGTGTACATATTTAGGGGTACACTGATAATGTCAACACTTGCATGTGATACGTAATGTGGAAAAGAGTGTCAGTAGCAAATGACCTCTCCTTCTCACCCATTCTTTCCTTAGTTTTACAGTTAAAGTCTTACTAGGTACCCCAGGCTGGCTCTTTATTCTTTATCCTCCTTCCCCAGCTTCCCCAGTGCTGGAATTAAAGGCATAATTACACCTCCAACTTCTTTATTATTTCTTAGGGTTTGGAGCCTTCGAGCTCCCCTTCTGGTTCTTCATAAAATATTCATGTTCTTGTGAACTATACTCAGCCCACTGGGATAGAATGCTGGAACTTTTTCTCATCTGTTTGGTTACTCTAGTCAGCCTCTCCTCCTTCCTCAGTTCCCTCTCCCTGGGCATGTCCCAGCCTCCAGCACTTTGTGTTCTAAGGTTAACTCTTTTGGCTTTCACAAATGACTGAATATGTGGTAGTTGTCTTTCTGTGTCTCACTGATTTTGTTTAACATAATGAGAGCTCAACTTGGTCTTAGTGACGGTTCAAGGCTCTTTGGCTTCATATTCCCCAATGTGAAAGGAGCGGTTGATAGACCTGTACGTACATTAAAGGACCAGGAAAATTCCTTTGAATGTGGCATGCGAGTGAATTGGGGAGAATGGGTTTCATAGAAATCAGGAAAGAGAACAGATTTCTGCTGCTTGAGAGGCTCCTGGATGGCAGTGGCTGGTGTGGTCTATATCAAAAGAGAGAGAACAGAATTAAAAAAAAAATCCTGTCAGTGCTGGGCAGTAGAACCCAGGGCCTTGTGAATTAGGCAAGCACTCTACCACTGAACTGCAGGCCCAGCTCAGAGCTTTTGTCTTTGCAGGCTGGCAGACTTGAGATTTGTGTTGGCACATCTTTTGCTTTCTATGGGCCTCGGAGTCTCCTCTTCAAAAGACAAGAACCCACAGAACATACCTCTGATTGAATCAGACCCACCCTGATTTACAAACAGATGTTGATTGATTTAAGGATTTGAGATTATAATTAGATCTGCCAAACTCCCCCAGGTTACTGCCTAAATTAGCTTTGATTGAATACTCCACAGAGGCTATGCCTTGACGTCAGTGCTTCAGTGGAAGTAGCCCCTCGAGGATCCTGTCCTGCTCCTTCTCCAATGCAATGGGAATCAGAGTTCAAGTTATTTCTAAGTAAAGGGTCAGTCAGGAGAAGGACACAAAACAGATGATCACCGGAGGACCCAGGGTTGCCAGGACCTAGTCTTTGGGCATCCTCACTTGGGGGGCAGAACCCAGAAAAGATCCTCAGAGGAAGGTCCAGGCCCAGATGGGTTTGGGAAGTAGGAACTTGCTGGGTGCATTGGGAGGAACCTGTAAAGGACATCTTCCCAGCTGTGCTAGGTCACCCAGGGGGACCTTTAACCCTGGGCTTGCTCTCAGGCGCCATGTTTATCCTGGACAAAGCCAGGTTCGTCAGGGCCACTGATCCTCTCTTGAGTGGTTAAGGAACAAATAGAGAGAGATAGGAGTAAGCTTTGAGTGCTCAGTCATGGTGAAAGGACCCTCATGAAGAAGGGAGCACACGCATAAATCTGTCCCCAAATCCTATGCTCTGCAAAGGGCACAGTATTATGAATTGGGATGGCTGATGTAAGTCACATAGGATCAGCAAAGGACTGTGGGGGAGATATGTCTGGGGAGACAACCCTCCCTGTCAGTCCTGGCCCAGGATCCACCCTGGGGCCTCTCAGGACAGTTAGGCTCAGCTCTGGGACCTTGGGCTGGTCTGCCCCTAGTCCTGTAGAAGTCCTACAAGCTTGTTAACCTCTGAACACTTTGTAGCCAACTCTTATTTTGTTGAAAATTAACCATTTCCACTTGTTTGTTATGCTGTTTTGTTTAGTGGCTTTTGTTTGTTTTGTTTTGAGACAGGTTCTTATGCAGCTCAGACTGGCCTGGAATTCTGTCTGTACAGAGTTAAGAAAAGCCTTGACTTCTGATCCTGCTGGCTCCACCTCCTGAGTACTCGGACTGCTGTCCTTAGCTACCAGTTGTCTATGGAGCCGGGGATCCGCAGAACCAAGGACTGTGTGCATAAGAGGAAAGTGTTTGCCCGGCTGAGCTATGCCCCATAACTTCTAAAATACAAAACTGCATCAAATCTTCTTCCTCACCTGCAGTGAAGTTACAGCCAAACATGCAAGGCAGCTAGATCTCCCTGCCCAGAGCAGGTCGTTTGGTGAAAGCTGAAGAGTGTTTCACAGAAAGGATTTTTTTTTTTAGGAGCAACAGGTGGTTCTGTGAGTAAATGTATGTGCTGCCAAGCCTGACCGCCTGAATTCCATCCTCAGGACCTATGTGGTCGAAGGACCCCTCAGATTGTCCTCTGACCTCCACATGTATGTGGTAGCAATCACATACACACAAGTAAAAAGAAAGCAGTTTTAAAAGTATTATTATTAATTATACGTACGTATGATGTGTGCCTGGGGGGAATGAGGACAATTTTGTGGAGTCTCTCCTTCTGCCTCATACATGGGTTCAGGTCACCAGTCTGTGAGGCAAGTGCTGACTCTCTTGCCAGCCCAGAAAGGTCTTTGTTTGTTTAGTTTAGTTTTTTTGATGCAAGGTGTCTTGTAACTCAGGTTGGTTTCAAACTCACTCTGTGGCAGAGAATGACCTAGAGCTCTTGATCCTCCTGCCTCTACCTGGCCTAGCCAGGAATGACAGGTTTTACCACTATTCTTAGCTATAGGAAGTTCCTTAAAAGAATTTCATTCCATACATCAGGTTTCTTCAAACATACACAGTCTCATGAAATTTATTTCCACTGGATTGGTAGGAATCAAAATTAGCTGTTTTCT